ACACTTTCCTTAAACGTGGAATATAAAACACTTCCACCATCTTTAAGAAATTGATTCAAGTAATTGGAAAGGAAACATAACTACATTCTCCCCTATTGGAATCTCTTGATCAAATCTCACATAATCGATTACCCAATGTATTCTTAATCAAAGAACTAATTCTCTGAAGAAATGCATAGACAACTACCAATGATTCATCATAGCGTTGTTTAATTAAGAATCTTCCTCCTTCAAATGTTATCTGCAATCGATTAATGTATCTATTGAAAACTTTATCCAAATCAGAGGCATATTTCAATGTTGTTTCGTCAATAATCTTATCGATATCGTATATCCACCTTTGTACAGGTAAGAAAAATAGAAATTCTTCAAAACTTACATATATGTATACTTTCCAATTTGTCCTCCTTTTTGGATGAGTTCAATATCTGCTTTGGATTGGTTGTCTTTACTATAAACATAATCATAGATTAGAAGTCTCATTACAGATTTGGAAATAGAAGTAGATCCGTATTTTTCCAGCTCTGAGCTCTCTTTCTTAGCCTTATATAGAATAGTCCAATATAAATCTCTGCATTTAAAGTTGTGAGTTAATGGAGTATGAGGTAGGAGACTTTTTACGGGCAATTTTTCAACAATTTCTTCAATCCTACCGTCTCTAACATATTGATAGAGTTGAAATAGAAATTGAACATCCTCTCTAAGTTGTTCGGTCTCTAGGACGTAATTTAAAATCTGTTTGTTCTCATAAAGTTTGTTAATTTTTACACAGTCCAAAATTAGTTCAGTATCCAATTTTTTAAACGAGTAGAGGATGGCCAATCCAAAAGTTTTGGTAGCTGTCAAGATAATATTTGAATCACTTTGTAGGGAATTTGATGCAAATTTCAAAAGTTCACCTTTTTTCTCAATGAGTGGAGTGATAAGATTCTTTCCATACTTGAATTTTTCAGAGGCGAATTGAATGGAAAGTGGATTTTGAGCAATCGCCATCTGAACTATTTGTAAATCCTCTTTGAAAATACCTGGAACTATTTCAAGAAGCAATCCGTTCCTTTCTACATATTCCAATATCTTCATTTTGTCGTTTTTCAATTCTCTAGAAGCATATTCGAAAGAATAATAGTTTTGAGAAACTGCAAGATCAACTATTGTAGGATTATTCCTCAATCTTTCAGATGCATACTTTAAAGATAGTCCTCTCGATTTTACAGCAATAGAAACGAGACTTTCATCATCCTGAAAGGAGTTTGGAAGAAATTCCAAAGCATATCCATTAAATTCGAGCAACTCCTTCATTGTTTCAATGCTTACAGTATTCCAATCTGTAAATTTTTGGAGAAGCATTACATTTCTTTCTGTCAATTCTTTTACAGACATATTTTCCTTCATTTCCAAGTTTAAATAAGAAAATTCCTGTTTCATCAAGAAATTAATAAACACCTGCAGTGCTGGGCAATCAGTTTTGATTCGAATAAAGTGTTCTAAATAATCCATGCCATGGATTATGTTATTTTTCGTAACC